GAGCTGTACTGGGTTTGTGTAACATTTTGTTGTGACATTTTTGTTGTAATCTGGATCCACAGTGTTTTTTTCTACTAGAAAAATAACTGGCATTTTAGACAATCACCCTAATTGCACTTGTTGGTGGACAAACGTTTTCCAAAGCTGATATGTTTTGTCCTATGTACATTTACTGACCCCTCTGAATTATGAGGTCATTAAAAGGGGAATTTCACATATTTTTCAAAGTTTATATGGTTTGTTCAGAGTTGACTGATGAAAAATGTGTCATTCCAGAGAAACTGTTCACAATGGTGGTTATAGGAACCAGACATCCAAAGCTTTTAATGCCCTTTAAAGCAACCTTACACATGTATTACACAAAATGAACACAGATACTGTCTGAGACATCATTTTATGAAATTCTTGAGATAAAGTTTGCCCCAAAACAGTTTTTCAGATTTAGCACTATTTTATACAGCATCACTTGTGTGAATTCAGCCATACAAAACCTCAAAATAAAACTCATAAAACTAGCACTTAGCAAATTACACCAGCCTTGACCAGAAGGTGGCTGCTTTTTCCCTTTACCCTTCAGGGACCAGGTGCAAAAAATCAGTGGGGGGGCTAAATGGCTAACAATTAGCATGCCATACCAGCTTCAACCACAAGGGGCAGTTCAATTCAACAGACTGCCAATCTAGATGCATCTAAAGAACTGGCCGTCATTGATTTCCAGTTACTGGTGAATGAAATTGTTCAGTAGTGCTGTTGTAAACCACCGCAGGTTTTGCAGCACCATTTTCACGCACAGTGTTCACAGAACATTTGAGTGAAGTCATTAAGTTATGTGAAAGTTAGACTACAACCAGAACTATACACTACTAGTACTGTTACACCAACTACTCAAATCATAGCCTTCTACTGCCAAAGCCACTTAACTACCACACTTAACAAAGCTAGCTATTTTGCATGGGGTATTTTGGTGAGGTTTCCAGTCTATCCTTGCATGTAGCATAAGCTGTGTGTAATAATGTTCCTATTTCCACCATCTAACCACCTCGTAATTCAAATGATAGTTATATTACAGTATATAAGACAAAACGTATTGGCCTTGAAACTCGTTTGTTGGCCAAAGACTGCAATAATGGTCATTTTCAAAAACAACATCAATTTTTCCCATAAACAAAAACAGTTTAGATGGAGGACTTGCCCAGAGGCTAACTGCAAAGTACAAAATACAAGACACATCCTCAGATGTCTGTTGAGCCCAGCTGATCTGGGACCTGTGACTAAAAGCTTTTCCTCATCAGCACATTGACAGTCCGTACACCACTGGAACCAGCGAAGCGTGCACACATAAACACACACAGGGATGGACACATACAGTCAGGGCTTAGAGGACATCACCACAGTCTCAGGGGAGGCAGAGAGGCAGAGGCGGTGTGGGGATTTTCAAAATCAATATTTCAGTCTACTCTTCAGGAGCATGCGTGTTTTTCCACATGTAGCTAAAGGAGGAATCCTAATGAAGAGATTATTTTCTTTTACATACAAACGTTTGGCTGATCTCAAAACCAGATTAAGCCTAAGCCAGACTAAAAAGAGATTTTCAGTAGAGATTTATCATTGGCAATGCAATTTAGTCTAAGACTAGACCTAGTCTATGACAGGGAAACTGGCGTCTAAAAAATATAACGTGACCATTTTAATTCAATTGACCTACCATGCTCTTCCTACAAGCATATTCTTTCATAGCAACTGTTGCTAGGTTGGACAAGCTTTACAGAATGTTGGCCAAGATCCCATTCAGCCTAAATTATTTATGTTGGAGTGCCAGCGCCTGGTTGCACTAACAGGTCTTAACTAGGATGGTCTTCCCAGACAGCACAGACAAGACGTTTATGTGATGCTCACAACTTCATTGTTACGGTGTCTATGGCAGCTTGTTTGCTCATTAGCATGGCATCGTAGAGACCTCTACCTGATGTTCAAGTGACGTCCATCTGCTTTCCAGGTAATGTTCCTCAGCAGCAACCTGATGTTAATGAGTTCTCTAACTGCTACATTGGTCATAGTTAAAATCATTTTTGAGAGAGAACTTTATTTATAGCAGCATTGTGTTGAATGACATGTCAGTTGGCATAATTGCAGGGGGTCAGTGGGAATTTCTTGTTTTATTATAATGAAAAAAAGGAAAATTATCCTTTTTAATGATAAGAATTTGAGACACTGTAATAACATTTCCAGAATTAATTTTCAGATATAGCTAACTAAGTCTTTAAAAACTCTTGTATGTTGTTTTTTGTAATAAAGATACACACGTGGCATCATAATTGCCATTTTAGTTCAGTGAGCGTCTATTTTGCGGTTTTTGGTTTAGCATGCTAATGTTAGCTATTTTTGAAGCCTCAGGCTATTTTTTTTAAATAGCCAGCTGCTTCAATAGCTGCCGTTGTCAAATTAGCAAGGTGTGCTATCTCATAATTAATCACCGTTATGTGTTTGTCTTATTTTGGCAGAATTATCAGTTTTGCATCAATTAGTGAATCCCACTCTATGCAGAATGTTGCATGCATACACAGTGTGCCGTAGGCTGTAGTGTGCACAGTGTTATATGGCAGCACTACTGCATGTTGTCATAGCCTAATTCATGTAATGTAATGTGTGAGACAAAATGCCTTGTTTTGTTCCCTGTACCATTTCTAATCTTATGTAACAAAACAAAAACACTGTGGATTTTTTTTGTCATTTTACTAATGTATAAAGCCTAAAACTTCTTCAAGCAAAAATGAACAAGACTAACTTTAACATTATGACCAGCACTCACTCTGCTGTTTGCTCAGCAAAGTAGCCAGTTACAGTGAAATATGCTGATTAACTGATCGGTACCTGTACTGATGACAAATTTTCACTATAAATAGTAAGGATTCACAAAGGTTAGGACAGCTTTTCTCTGGTGACTGCTTTATTGATGATGGCTGACTTTCTCACTTTCCATAACTGGGGTTGCCAGAAGGCTGGCCATGCTTCACACTAGGGTAAAACCGGCCACTCTTGCCCACCCCTTTGCCTACCTGTGTTCTGTATCTAGATGTTGTCTGTAAATGCATTTAAATGACAAGTGCAACCGCATTTCAGATGTGTGTGTAAACACGATGTGGCCAGCTTGGCTACATTAATGGCCTAACGTCATGTGTGGTCCACCTACAACTTTCAATATTGTTCCTGTCTCTCTCAATGAACCAGTGTCTGCTTGTGTGTTCAAGTGCAGGGTTACGAACACCAAAGCTGAAAAACAATTTGCTGCCTGTGGAGGACAGCACATGATCCCCCTGCCCCTGCTCCCGGCTGTGATTGTAACCTATATTTTTCTTTTGATGTTTCAGTTGTGGCTGCTTCTTTCTCTGTAACTTCAAGCATTAAACACAACATAGCATGTACAGGTTCTGCACCACACCAGCCTGACAGAAAAAAAATTGCATAGGGAAATGAATTCTGATTAATATAGGGACAAAGATCCTACATTTTAAAAGGTCAACACAAATCATCAACACAGTTGTCGTTTTTTGTTTTACAAGCGGTGTTTTACGTGGACAAGCTTTGCTTCGATGCTTAAATGGGCTTGGAGTGCAAGAAGGCTCACAGTTTGAGGCTAAATCCTCCCTCTAGTATCATCCATCTCTTGTTTTATTGTTTGTCTCACCTGCTAGTCAGCGCTCAGCAGACACATTTCTGCTCACATACTTTTATACAGATAATGAATTCGCATTCTGTTTACACTTGTGTTGAATGTGGTAAAGATTCATCCCTAACCACCTCTGAATGTGGGGTCTGATCATAATCCTCTTAAAATGTATCTTGGAGGTCTTTACATCAGACTTTTTTTATGCAGTTAAATTAAATTCAAATGTGATTCGATCACGGAAAAGGCATGTTAATGCAAGCTGTAAACAGGCTCAGAGTGTTCTAGTTAGTGTGATAACAGAGTCATTCACTGGGGAAAATATTTTATTTGATTAAATTGATTCTAAATATCCAGTTTCCAATCTGCCAGCTGAATGGACACTTGGGGGCCTGCAGAAAGAGACTACTGCCAAGTGTAAACAGGATCAATCCTGCGCTACCAAGCTGGACTATGTTGTTGTAGCTAATTTAACCAAGTCATGGAAACGAAAAGATTTGCCATCATCTTCACAATTATTTAATATAATGACATAAAACTACATCTTATCTATCTTTATGGTGTGACCTTCCACTCACATACAAAATAAACAGCATTTGAAATGAAGAATGCAATGGCCAAAAAAGCTGCTAATTCCCTTTACATTAAATACAATTTTTGCCACTGATCTGTAAAGCTGAGTGACAGCCTATTCTTTTGTTTTTACTGTGCTTCAGTTAGTGGGACCAGACTTTACTGAATTTTGTCATCCATGGTAGGCTGACCAACCCCCAAAAAGACAACTAATTAGATTCACCTTGATGTAGGTACTCTTCAGAGCATCCTGATGCCTACAGCACAACCCTGGTGTTGCTACGAGTGCTGTACTCCCCTCACTTGGAGTCTGACTTCAGGTTCAGTCATGTTTGTACGGTCCTGCCACAGTTAAAGCTGATCAGGCCTGAACATTTGATGAGTGAACGTTTAGCATTTATTATTAGTGACATTATTCGAGCAGTAAACCCTTTTTCTTTATAGCACCTGTATTTGTAGCATTGAAAGCCGAAATGGTGTTAACTAGTGATAACACTAATGAGAGCAATGCAGGGCACGAGTGCATAACCGTGGCTAATTTACGCCTGTAGCCTCAGCGATGTATGGAACTGACTGTGTAAGTGCTGTCTGAGTGTATCTGACCTCCAGCTGTGTGTGTACGTGTGTGGGTGTGTTTCAAGACCCCAGCTAAGCTACACTGACCTCAATGTGTCCATTCACCCATGATTCAGATAACGTGGACGTTATCATAATGTATATCACTCTCTCTCTCTTTTTTCTCTCTCTTTTTCTTTCGGTCTAGCTCTCTCTCAGCCTCTTCTTGCGTGTCATCCTGCATTCACTGGCCTCTTTTTTTCTCAGAGTGGTATTATCTAGTGGCAGTGCCCTCAGGTCAGACTAACTTGCCTTTGAATCATTTCTTCCCTTTTATCCTCTTTATCTCTCTTGTCCCTCCTTTTCCTCTGTGACTTTTTCACTTTTCTTCAGTGCTTTTCCTTTATCCCTATTGCTCTCTGTGATTGTAGACTGATAATACTGTGTTTTCTTTCTTTCTTTCTTTCTCTTTTGTCCCAGGCTCTCTTCTCTTAAACATTTAAACATCACGCAATCCCTGCTGTCCCAAACTAGCACCTCTCTTTCTTTCTCTCTCTCTCTCTGTCGCTCTATCTCTCTCTTTCTCTCTCTCTCTGACTCCTTCTTTATCTCTCTCCCCACACTCTCTCTCTTTCTCTCTCTCAGTACCACTCTCTCTCTCTTGCTCTCTCTCTTGCTGAATCTATCGCTCTCTCTCTGACACCATCACTCTCTCTCTCTCACTACCACTCTCCATCTGCTTCTCTCTCTATACCTTTCTATTTTTTAATACTCTATTGCTTTCTCTCTCGCTTTCACTACCACTCTCCACCACTTTCTTTCAATAGCTCTTTCTCTCTCTCTCTCTCTCTCTCTCACATCCTCACTCTCTCTCTCTCTCTTTCTCTCTATCTCATCCTCTCTCCTCCCTCCCTCCCTGCTTCCCTTTATCTTTCTCTCGCTCTCTCTCTCCCCTTCATCTCACCTCCAACCAGTCAGCACTCCCTCTCCCTCCTGCTCTGTCCTTCTGTCTCTCTCTCTGTCTTTCTCTTTCTTCTTCTTCTTTTTCTCTTCTCTCTTCTTTCTCTCTGTCTCTTGTTTCTTTCTCTCTTCCTCTCAGTGGCTCCTGGACATTTCGGCTGCCTGTGTGCGCGCCTCCGTTCGCCACGCTCTCGCACAAGATCGTCCAGCTGCTGCGCTCAAGCCAGGACACACACACTCCACACCGGGTAAGAAACAGAACACACACATCTCACAGTGCATGAGAGAGAAAGAGAAAAGGAAAAAAGAGGAGAGGGAAAAAAGGAGAGGAGAGGCAAGCAGAGGAGAAGAGGGGAAAGGACAGGAGATAAGAAAAGGAGAGAAGGGAGGAGAGGAGTGGAAGTGAAAGAATAAGTAAAAGAAAAGAAAAAAGGAAAAGAAAGAATAGGAAAGGAAGGGGAAGGAAAGGAAAGAAGAGAACAGGACAGGAGAAAAGAAGGAATTAAGGGAAAAGAAACGAGAGGAGAAAACAGGAGAGGAAAGGAAAGATGAAAAGAGGAACAGAGAAGAGGATAAGATTGGAAAGGAAAGGAATGGATAGAAAAGGAAAGGACGGGATAGGAAATGAAAGGAAGGGATGTGAGAGGAAAGGAAAGAATAAGGGAAGAGAGGAGAAAAAAGAGAGGAGAGCGAAGGACAGGATAAAATATGAAAGGAGAATAGAAAGGAAGAGACAAAAGGAGAGAAAGGGATAGAAGAGGAAAGCATGACAGAGAAAAGGAAAACAAGAGAAAAAGAAGAGTGGAAAAGAGAGAAGAGAGTTGCAGCATTTGTAGAGACTGAGAGCATGAAGGGCTGCAGGAGAGTTGAATGCAGCGAAAAGGGAGGGAGAGAGAGAGAGGGAGGTTGTGAATGAGAACAAGAATGGGAAAGTCAGAGCGAGAGAGTATACGGTATACTCACAAGGAAAGGCAGAAAGAGATAGTGTAGACTGAGAGAACTGATGGTAAGAGAAAGCAGACGACAGTGAGCGAGAGACAGAAGCACAGAGAGAGTAAGAGAGTGAGAGAGACGGTGAGACTCCTGTGTGGCTGCATCATCATCTGTGTGTAATACCCCATTCACAAACCACAGCTGAGCTCTGCCAGCCTGCGCTGTGTGTGTGTGTGTGTAGAGGATGAATGGATTGCAGAAGAGAAATGAGCAGTGTGACAGCACCTCACACCTTATCTTCTGTCCACATGAATGAAATATTAGTGTTTTATTAGAGTGACAGAGTAACAGAGTCCATCAGCCAGACACAAACTTCTCTACAGGGTTTCAATGCAGCACTGATGAAGGTTAAAAGGATGCTGGCGGTGGTCAATGATGACGATGGTGACGATGAAGTCTCTTTCTGTCTCTGTCGCTTGCTCTCTGTTCTCTCTCTCTCTCTCTTTCTTTCTTTCTTTCTTTCTTTCTTTGTCTGTCAATCATCCTTGCTCCCTCTTTCCCTCACTTTGTTTCTCCCTCGCTCTTGCTCTATCTCTCTCTCGCTTGCTTTGCCTGTGTTTCCTCCTACTATCTCTCACTTTCTTTCTCCCTCAGTCTTTCCCTGTCTCCTTCTGTCTCTTTTTGGTTCTCTCTCTCACTCTCTCTTGCCCTCTTTCTCCCTCACTCTTTCTCTGTCACTCTGTCTCATTTCAACCCCACACCCCCCTTCTCTCTCACCCTCTGGCATAATCTGTGCTCTAGATTGTCAATGCAGAAACAGCTGCATGGACCCAATGCCTGTAACACCACACAATCAGCAGTGTGCATGTGTGTGTTGGAGTGAGCGTGTGTGCGCACATGCCGCTGCAGGGGTGAAGAGAACTGAGTGAGTATCAGAGAGTTTGCAGGACTGAAAGAAGGGAGGGTGAAAAGAGGATGTGGAAAGTAAAGTAACAAAAAACTGTAACCACTGTAAGAGTGTGTGTGAAAAACAGAGATAGAGAAAGGCAAAAGGAGGCGTCTGCGTTTGAGTAATAGAGACAGACTTTTTATGAACTTATTTTCCGGAGTATTAGAACTTTTAACAGTAAGCATTCCTTCTGAATCTGAAGGGCGATAGATAGATAGATAGATAGATAGATAGATAGATAGATAGATAGATAGATACAAGATATAGATGGAGAGAGAGATGAGTGAGAGGGAATGACAGAGAATGACAGAAAGACAGGTAGAGAAAAAGAGACAGAGAAAACTATATATATATAAAATGAATAGTTTCTAACTCTCTCTCTCTATATATATATATATATACACACAGACACACATACATATTGAGAGAGAGAGAGGGAGAGAGAGAGAGAGAGAGAGAGAGTTAGAAACTATTCATTTTTAATGTAATAATCACTTATAACATTGTTGCTTTCTTTGCTTTGGCAACATTTATTCCACTTTCCTGCCATAAAAGCTTTTTGAATCTGAATGTGTATAAGAATCCAAATTTGAATGTGTGAGAGAGAAAAAGACTATGAGAGAAGAGTACAGAGGTGAGAGAGGACACAGAGAACAGAGAGAGAGAGAGAGAGAGAGAGAGAGGTAGAAAGTGAAAGAGTGATGTTGGAGGTTGCATTGCTGCATCGCAGCCTGAATCGCTGCACTGCTGCTGACACATTAGTGTGCCTCTCAGGACTGACGAGCACTCAGTGATGCATGCAGCACTAGGTGTGTGCGTGCGTATGCGCGCGTGTGTGTGTGTTCTTGAGGCTGAGGAGTGTCAGCTACTGAAGTTGTCGTTATTGTCAGAGCTTCACTCGGCAGAGACATTCTGCAGTGATAGCACGAAAGTAAGTGTGTGCGTGTGTGGGTGTGCATGTGTGTGTGGGTGTGTTTGCCAGAGTGTGTGTAAGATGCATCATTCCTGCAGGCAAGCTGCTTGCTGTGGTTAATGAAGTGGATATCAGCTCCCCTCCCCAATCTCTCTCTCTCTCTCTCTCTCTCTCTCTCTCTCTCTCCCTCCCTCTCTCTCTCTCTCACATGCACATTAATGAAATCACAGTCACTTCAGCCATTCTGACTGCATTCCAGATTACCAATCCAAAACAAATTACTTGCCAAGACCTTGTTTGTGTGAGTATGTGTGGATTGACTGGATAAGTTCTCATTGTGTGCTTTTGGGACTCCAGTTGTTTGTCCTTGTGATCTACACTGGATGTTCTGATTTAACATTGAGCAGACTCCTGCATTAAACTGTACTGTTAACCTCTTAACTGATCAGGGCCTAAAGTTTTATTACATACTTCTATAACCTAAGAATAGCTGAGCCAGTTTGTATTGAAGTTCCTGTAATTACTGAATAATAAGCCTTACTATGTAATAAGCCTGGGATTTTAAGGGGTTAAAGCCATAGTTTGGACAACAATCAAAGACAAGTATGCCATCAATTGTCCTTTTACTAGTCGATCAGTAAAGACGTGTTTGACATCTGAATTTTGCTTCCTTGGTTTTACACTTAAGCTGCAAGCCTAATGAGCGAACAAGTACTTGTAGGTTGTAGCCATTAATTAGCATCATGCACACTGCATGCCAAAAATCATCACACACTTGCCTCAAACTGCACTCAGTAATCTCAGACAGACTTGCTTATGTGATTTTTGAAACACCGTTATCTATAAAATTAGACAAAATGTATGCTACATACCTAAAACAGTAGTCACAGCCATCTGTAAGCTCAACATGTGTCTGTATATTTGTCCATTTTTATGCTAAACTGCTATAAGTTTGTGTTACTTATTAGCTACAGTGCTGTGCAAATGTTAGAGACCACCCTTCATTTCTTTTTCAGTCAAAATGGCCTTTAAGTACATCTCAACATTTTAGACCAAAACCTTATCACATAACTATCGTAAAACAATGTCTCTGCATCAGGCGGTGTACTCATAACCATTTTGTGTAATAACTTTTTGTGAGGGAGAGGTGGATGCCTGGTTCCTATCACCAGCACTGTGAACAATTCTGCAGCATTTCACATCAAACCACTCTGAATAATTTTGTTTAAATCTTAATCTTTGAATGATGTGGAACTTTTGAAAAATCAGTGGAGTTCCCCTTTAAGATAATCTACTTGCATAGGAAAGAATCATAGAAAAATAAGTGGAAAAAAATGACTCCTAACAACCACCAAAAGTGTCACCATCAGATAAACAGTACTCAAAGCTTTCATCTTTCAGAGTGTGTTTCTGGCTACTAAGAAGCAGAAAATATGAAAATTTCATTTTGGCCAAACTTGTGCGTTAATTATAATAAACTGTCCATTTTAAATACTTTTAGCTCCGAAACTCCTTATAAATGTCTTTATTAAGTGCCTGTTTCGGTACGTGGGCGGCGTATTGTGCCGTGTGTGGTTGGACGGTGTGTGTGAGCTGTGGAGAGGTTTACACTGGAGTACAGTGTGTGGTGGGTAAGCAGCTTCTAATGGTTTCTTGGCAGTTTGTTTGTGTGCGTGTAGGTGTGAGTGTAGGAGAGAGAGCGTGTTCGGACAGTTGACACTAATTGAGTATTGGCAGATAGAAAATGCAAGTTCTCGCTTTTGCTCTGTATAGAAAGTGTATGTTTTAGTATGTACAGTACGTAGGCAGCTTCTAGATCAAACTCAGCCGCAGAGCCTTCTCTCTCATACAAATGCAAACAGATCTGGCAAGTGCTGAAAGATTCGCGCTGAATTGACTTGCTTCATATCTGCACATTATTTCCACATGAAATAGACTCAGTTCATGTGCTTGTGTCATGTAAACTGAAAGACACAACTGTTTGAATGTTATATATTTTGTTCATGTGGAAATTATGTGCAAATAAATTGAATGCATCACTTTATTTAGTGTGTTAAATGTGTAATGTGTAGTGTGGAATGTTATCTCATTAGAAGTCATATAGAGATAGAAGCTATTATAGGAAACATAGCTTGTGTGAGCAGGTCTCTTTTGGAGTGTTTAACACAGAGATGTGAAGATAACTGTGTGTGTGTGCATATCATTACAAGACTGTGTTCACAGTGTAATGTCAGCCTTATTACAGTCAAAGGGAATTTTATCACTAATTTCAAAATGTCTGCATAAGGAAGTAATTAGGATGCAAACAGCGTAAGTTAGACTGGTTAGATGTGAAATTACCACATCAGAATTGTTTACAATAACAGTGACAGTAACCAAACATCATTTGTTCTTCAGATTAACTTATAGATCTTGACTTTTTACTGTATTTACGTTTATTTATCTATTCTAAT